GAGGTTTGGGGGGAAATGGTGTGTAACAGCTAATAGGTATGAAATTTATTTCTGGGATGATGAAAATGTTCTAAAATGGACTGTGGTGATGACTGCAGAATTCTGGGAATATACTAAAACCCACTGAATTGTACACTTTAAATGAGTGAATTGTGATGATAGGTGAATTATATCTCAATAAAATTGTTAAAAATCTACATAGACATAATATTTGGAAAATAAGATAATAGAAGGCTTGTTTTTTATTTTTTAATTTAGGCTTATCTATCCTTTCTAAGTTTTCTACAATGAATATGATTACTTTGAGACAATGCCTCAAAAAAAAAAAAAAAAAAAAACAACTTAACCCTGTTATCATACAGAAAGCACCAAACTCAAAATAATTGAAAAAATGAAAATACCCCTTTCCTTATGATCCCTATGGCCACAGCAAGATGACTGGCAGGCAAAGCTCGGCTTATTACCGCATCAACCCTGATCAGTTACAACCCCAGTCCCCAACCCATGGCTGAGCACAGAAGCTCAAGGTTTTTTTTTCTTTTTGAGACAGAGTCTTGCTCTGTTGCCCAGGCTGCAGTGCAGTGGTGCGATCTCAGCTCACTACAACCTCTACCTCCCAGGTTCAAGCAATTCTCCTGCCTCGGCCTCCTGAGTAGCTGGGATTACAGGTGCATGCCACCGTGCCCAGCTAATTTTTGTATTTTTAGTAGAGATGGAGTTTTGCCATGTTGGCCAGGCTGGTCTCCAACGCCTGACCTCAAATGATTCGCCAGCCTTGGCCTCCTAAAGTGCCGGGATTACAGGTGCAAGCCACCACGCCCGGCTGAGAAGCTCAATGTTTTTCACATGGATGATGGTTTACTGAGGTGCTACTAAAATGATAAATGTGATGGTGTACTCAGAACATTTCCTATCGGGTTAGAGAAGACGTTCTGTGGGGAAAAAGTGAACAAAAATAGATCACATCATATTTGTATACTGTTGTATTTGCTGTATGTTTGTACATGAGCAAAGATCATAAGATAGTGATATAGAGACTGTCTAAAACCAGCTGTGTTGCTCTAAGGCAGGGAAGTTTGAAACCAAACATGGGATATAGGTAAAGATAGACGGAAAAAAAAAAAAACCTGCTTCTGGGAAATATTTCCAACCAGTATGTTTATTATTCACAAACTGTGATTCACCAGTCCTATTTTTTAAGCCAGCATCACACTCTAATCATATTCCTAGGTTACAAGCCCAGAGTTTGTGCATAATAAAAACTGAATCCATTAAGATGGTACATTAGGCTTTTCTCCCCTATGTCATCTCTTTAGGGAGAACATTTGATTATAAAACCTACATATTACTTTGGATCCCGAAACCAAAGAGGTTTCCTATGAAAATGAAACAGTTATCCAAGGATTCTTTCACCTGAAAAATGGAGTCCAAATCTGGGGCAGGCAAAAAATGAAACCCTCAGACCCATGCAAGTGACACTATTCCATCCAGACACGAAGAAATTTTTATGTGGTTCACTGGATTTATGCTCGGAAACATGGTCTATTGTTGAACTCTCTCTCAGATACATTTTTCTCCCATGCTCTGAGAAGCTACAATACTGCAGAAGGCTGAGTAGGCAGGCAAGTTAATGAAACAATACACATGTGCACAACTACAGCTTAATTTCATGATCAGCAGCCCTGATAACAAACTCAATGAAACATTCTACTTGTGGCCTCAGTATAAACACTTGATATCGCCTATTAGGATAATGAATGCAGGTGATCACTGTCAGAATAAATGATAAGCAAAGACATTGCTAGTTAAGACTCATCTATCAGATTACAGTGTTTCTGTACACATATGATCCTCAGTTCTCGGTGACTTTTTAAAAACCTCCCTCTAAAACCAAAATATTGGCTAAATGAAAGAAATTTGATATATTATAGCTTTTTATAAAAAGGTACTTTGCCTCACATTGTACTGATCTCTTTGATAACTGAGAGATGTGGCACCTAAACACCATAAAATGAGGACTGCTGACAGTGATGATGTAACACTAACCAACTCTAGGAGCAGATATAGGTCTAGGAAGAAAGGAGAAACTCACTGACTAAATAAGCACATTCTGGATTAACAAAAGACAGCCTCAAGTGCTTAATAATGCCAATGTTATTGCGTTTTGGATCTGGTAGCCTAAAGTCTCAACTCATAATGAGTCAATGTCTGGCTCAAATAGACACACACTGAAAGAAAATCACAGTATTGCCTCCAATGCAACAGTTACTCCATCAATCAAAAAGAAACATCAAAAACTATTTCTTGCAGAGGCATAGTATAACATTCGAAAAATGATGACGTACAGTAAAAAGCATCTTTGGAGGGTAAAGAGAATTTACATTTATTATCTATTAAGCACGTGTGAAGGTGGTGCCTTCTTTACATGTTAGCTGTCCCAATTTCACCTATCAGGAAGGAGTCTCTAAGAAGTAAAATCACGGCCGGGCGCGGTGGCTCACGCCTGTAATCCCGGCACTTTGGAAGGCCAAGGTGGGTGGATCACTTGAGGTCAGGAGTTCGAGACCAGCCTGGCCAACAGGGTGAAACCGCGTCTCTACTAAAAATACAAAAATTAGCTGGGTGCGGTGGCAGGCACCTGTAATCTCAGCTACTTGGGAGGCTGAGGCAGGAGAATCACTTGAACCCAGGAGGCGGAGGTTGCAGTGAGCCGAGACCATACCATTGCACTCCAGCCTGGGCAACAAGAGCGAAGAAACTCCATATCAAAAAAGAAAGAAAAAGAAGACGTAGTAGTAAAAGAATATGCCTAGGGCACAGCTAGCAAGTGACCAGTTAGAACTCAGGTTTGTCTGATTTTATACCCACTGCATTCTGCACATCACTGTTGCCTGGTTTAACTGTAAACTTTGCTACGAGTTTCATTCACAATTTTAAAATAAGAATTCTTACTATGTTTGGGGATGAAAACTCTCGGGAGAAAATTCTAGGAGTGAAATTCTGACCTTTTTTTTTTTTTTTTTTTTTGAGACAGTCTTGCTCTGTCTCCCAGGCTGGAGCACGGTGGCTCGATCTCTGCAACCTCCATCTCCCGGGTGCGGGTGCTTCTCCTACCTTAGCCTCCCCAGTAGTTGGGATTACTGGCCTGTGCTACCCACGCATTAGCCTAATTTTCATTTTACTTATTTATTTATTTTGTATTTTTAGTAGAGACAAGGTTTCACCATGCTGGCCAGGCTGGTCTCGAACTCCTGACCTCAAGTGAATCACCCACCTCAGCCTTCCAAAGTGCTGGGATTACAGGCGTGAGCCAACGCGCCTGGCCTGAACTTTCACCTAAATAGTAGTTACACTAAACTATAACCTTTTCATAAGGGTCTAGAATATTTTATCATGAACTCTGAGAAGTTTGGATTTCTAAATACAAATTGGAAATATTTACACGAACTGAAACTATAGTTCCAACTAAAGCTAAATCGTTATTTTTGGCTCTTTAGCCTAAGTTATTCAATAACCAAACACTAGAATCCAGTGAAAAGGTAGCAAAAGGAAAGATGTGGCAAAGGAAACCATATACACTTATCCCTTGACGATATGAAATGATCGAATTCCATGTCTAACATTTGGTCATTCTACTTACACCCTCATTTGTGAACAGATGCCAGGCAGTAGTTACCAATCCAAAGTGAGATGCTCAGGTTCAAAACCTGACCTTAGTTGTAGAAGTGGGGTTTTTATTTTAAAGAAAAACTTAACTTCCACAAGTTCTATTATAAAGAAAGTGTCTACAAATTTTCCTTTATTAAAAAAAAACAAAAACCCCAATTTGAAAAAGGTGACCTTATTTATTTACTTCGTCTGTTTCCAAATTCTTGTTACTCCAAGAGTACAGACAGTTATTTACCTAAAATGCAAAACCTCCAGAGTTCACGCGGTGGCTGGCACGCAGGCACACACATGTCAGTGTTCTACTGGAACACTTGGTACATGATATCCCTATTAAAGAGTACACAGTACGTTTAAAGAGGTCATTAAACAGAACACGGACACATTTGCCACGCTCACATCCTGAACAATACATTTTGTGAAAAACACTCGCTAATTTAGGTTCTTCCAACCAGAAAAAAAAAAAAAAAGCCAAGTCTCCCACAAAATGTCTCCAAATCCACAGCTGAGTGAAGGTCATAAATAGTTAAATGAATGTAAACCAGGCCCTATCATTCGTCTCCTCCAGAAAAAAGATGAAAAGACATTTCTGATGACCCCAGGTGCTCTCCCACGAGGAGACAGTCTTTCATTTGAGCTTCTGAAGCAGCCTCACCTCGAACCCATGCGGGATCTTCCAAGAGTGCACTTCCCACAGCTCCACTTGCTCAAGGAAGTCTCGGTGCACAGAAGGAAGCCTGGAGCCTCCCAGTACCAAGAAACCGGCAGGGCAAGTGGCAGAAGCCAGCTCTGGGGTGAGAGTCCTTACTCCCTGTTGCATTCGTTTCCCAAAGTTTTCGAATTTTTAAAAAGTTCAAACACAGATTCGAAGCGCAGGACAGACCCTTCCCCTGGATCCCAGCGCCCTTTCGGCTCCTCCCGCGGCCCCCGCCAGGCAGCGCCGGCGCCCACCCGCGAGAAGGAGGGTCCCGCAGGTGGGCGGCCTCCCCAGGCCGGGGCCCTCTGGGACCCCCAGGTGCCGTCCAGGGCGCCACGAAGTTGCGCCCGAGCCTGCGGGGTCCGGGGAGCCGCTGCCCGTGACAGCCGCGCTGGCTTGGGAGGCTCTTCGGGCGGCCGACACCTCGGTGGGGCCGCGACTCCAGTCAGGGAAGCTCTCCCGGCCCGGCGCCGCCTCCTACTCCCGGCCCGAGCCTCCCTCCGCGGGGCGCACGGGGCCTCTGGCCGCCGCCACGCTCCCAGCTCGGACTCCAGCCCCGACGGCCGGCGCGACGCTGCCCCGGCCCCGACCCGGCCGTCGCGAGCTGTCCTCCACCCCACGCTCCCGGGTCACTCACCCCGAGGCCGGGCAGCAGCAGCGTCAGCAGCAGCAGCAGCAGCCGCCGGGCCGGCATGGCGAGGACTCGGCCCTGACTCCGGGGGCGGTACGGACAGAGGACGGGGCGGGGGCGCCGCGACGACAGCGAGGCGGCGACCTAGCCTCAGCGGACGCAGAGCTGACTAGGCGACGGCGGCACCCCCATTCCCGGCCCTATAAGCGCCGGGTGCCTCGGCTTCTTCCGGTCGGGGCGGGGTTGGGGGCGGGGACGGGGCGGGGCCAACCCAGGGGCGTGATTGGGGCGGAGATGGGGGCGGGGATGAGGGCGGGCCGAGGGCGTGTCCCGGGAGGGGGTGTGGGAGGGGCTGGCTCGGGGCGGGGCCGAAGGCGGTGCTGGCATATGGCTGGCTTTGCTCCTGAGGAGGCGGCGGCGGCTATGAAGGACCAGGCCTCGGCATCCAGCGTCTGGGGGCGCTGGGTGATCGAGGCGCGAAGCTTGTCTGTGGCTGGGAAAGACCGGCATTGCCCCACCAGGTGGTCCCATTAACCCTGCCAAGGGACCTGCCGCGTCAGACTTCATCGGGGAAAAGGGCGGGACACGGGCGGTCCAGGGTGCCTAGAAGCCCCCTTTTCGTCTTTCCGCCGTGGTGGACTCATCGGCGAGGTTTACTGAGGCGACCTCTGGAGCGAAGGTTTCAGCAGCTACCGGAGGCTTCCAGCAAACACGGCGCAGCTGCCCCGCGGGGCAGGCAGTCGCAGTGTTCACAGCCCTAGGGTTCTCCAGCTGTGCCTCGTCTCCTCCAGGGCCTCTTTCTTCCTTTTCCTTGCCCTCAGGAATTCCCCTCAAGTCACATCCAACAGCCATCAGTTCCGTTTGGAATGAACCACGGCCAAGTCACTCACCAAAAATTATAAGGAGGAAACCAATTCGGCCACTTGTGTCACGTGCGTTGATGTGACACGTGTGGATGTGAAGTTTGAGATGGCCTGCGTCACAACTCGTTGGAGGGAGTGGGTGGGTTGAGGCCTCCTGCAAGGTCTGTGTGAGGGTGTGGACTACTAATTAGAGTTAAAGAGCTCGGCAGCTTTTTGGTCACTGGCACTGGCCTCCACTGAGAGGGACATGGGGAGGGAGGACACGTCTTTTGCAAGGAAAGAGAGTAAACTGAGATTTGGAGCCCAAGGAAAGTTATCTAACTTATCCTAGGGGAAAAAGAAAACAGGGCTATGACATTCTCTAATTTTTCCTGACTTGCTCATATGAGAGCCTAAGATTTTTCTAATTTGAAGGAAAAGAATAAGCAATTCTAGACAAAACAACACAGTAGTAGTGGGGGACTGGCCAAATGTCCAGTCTGTGTGCATTGTGGTCAGTCTTATCCAACTAAAACAGACCAAAATGATAATAAGTCCAAATCCTGCAAATAGAGCTCCCCATTCCTAACCCCCTAGGCCTGGATTACAATGAAGGGACTAATCCCTACCGCATGCTGGAGACTCCAACGCATCTCTGTAAGAGTGGGAAGAATCTTGGCAACTGTGAAGACAGTAGAAACATTTTGAAAAGTGTTACCTGCATGTCTAAGTTCAAACAGAGGTTTGGGATTGGCAGAGAGATGTACTGAGAGACCCAGCACTCCTGAGCAGTGTAGCTGGGTGTCCAGAGAGGCCTACAGCCCTGAAACTGGGAGGAGCTCTTTATTTCTTGACCTTTTATCTTTTATTTTTAGAGATGAGGTCTCACTATGTTGCCCAGGCTGCTCTCGAACTCCTCCCCAGGAGATCCTCCCCAGTAGCTGGGACTACAGGTGTGCCCCATGACACCTGGCTTGGGAGGACCTCTTTAATGATTACCTGTCCAGTTTACCAGCTGACAACAGCATCTGTTAGACCCTGTATACTTAACTTAAAAGAGAAGCGTGACTGAAAAATGTCACTTTCACATCCCCCCGCCGGTGCTTTTTCTCAGAGTAAGTCTACGAGGGAAAAATTCGCTGTACTGGAACTCTGGCAGGCCTTTTACAATTCAAAATGTCACTGTGACCCTGTAACATCAGCAGATGAAACACAAAGAGGAATGCTGACCTCAATTTCACTCATAAATCAGTTTTAAAGATCTTAGAAAGAAAAAAAAAATCTGTTCCAAGAAGCCTGGCCAGGTAGGTATTATTTATCTTACACTCAGTTGGACTAAATCCCCAGGGCTTAATTGCACTGTTACATGTTCTCTGAATTTCTTTTTTCTTTTTTTTTCTTTTTTTTCTTTTTTTTTTGAGATGGAATTTCACTCTTTTGCCCAGGCTGGAGTGCAGTGGCATGATCTTGGCTCACTGCAACCTCTGCCCTTTCGGTTTCAAGCGATTCTCCTGCCTGAGACTCCCAAGTAGCTGGATTACAGGCGCCCACCACCACGCCCGGCTAATTTTTGTATTTTTAGTAGAGACAGGGTTTCACCATGTTGGCCAGCCTGGTCTCGAACTCCTGACCTCATGATCTGCCTGCCCCTGCCTCCTAAAGTGCTGGGATTACAGGCGTGAGCCACCGCACGCAGCCCCGTTCTCTGAATTTCTTATGCATCGTCCACATACTTCATGCACTTCTCCACTTGATTGGCAATCCAGACTGATAAGCACTGGTTTTATTTATGGTGGCATTGCCCATAATCTTGCTCCACAGTCAAGTACTTCTTTAGGCAGCTTTTTGCTTATGATAAAGTAAAAGCTGGCAGCACTGATAAACACAAACAGAAATGGAATATTTTGTAGGGTGCCTTTGAAGTGGACCTGCCCATATAAAAGACCTGAAAATGGGCAGTAAATGACCTTTTTGCAAGTCACATTAAATAACATCCACTGAATAAAGCAAAGGTCATGGTCTTAGTGTAAAGATAAGCCCCCTTTTCTATCAGTGTAAAAAATATATATACATCAGATTCAACAAAGAACTGCAGCAGGACCTGACTATGGGGAGGTGGGAGAAAATCTTATTTTCACTTCACTTCTCTTTAAACCACTGGTTCCCAAACTTGGAGAGCAAACAAAAACAAAAACAAAAACAAAACAAACAAAACCCCCCACACACACACACACAAACAAACAAAAATAATAGATTTCCAGGCCAGGCATGGTGGCTCATGCCTGTAATCCCAGCACTTTGGAAGGCCGAGGCAGGAGGATTGCTTGAGAGCAAGACCAGCCTGGGGAACATAGTGAGACACTGTTTCTGTAAAGAAAAAAAAAACAAAAAATTAGTCAGGCATGGCGGTTCACACCTGTAGTTCCAGTGACTTGGGAAGCTGAGGCGGGAGGATGGCTTGAGCCCGGGAGGTCAAGGCTGCAGTGAGCTTTGATCGTGCCATGGCACTCCAGCCTGGGCGACAGAGCAAGACCCTGTCTCCAAAAAATAGAAATAAAAAGCTGGGCGTGGTGGCTCACACCTGTAATCTCAGCACTTTGGGAGGACAAGGCGGGTGGATCACGAGGTCAGGAGATCAAGACCAGCCTGAGCAACATGGTGAAACCCCGTCTCAACTAAAAATACAAAAATTAGCCAGGCGTGGCGGTGTGCGCCTGTAGTCCCAGCTGCTCGGGAGGCTGAGGCAGAAAAATCGCCTGAACCCGGGAGGCAGAGGTTGCAGTGAGCCAAGACTGCACCACTGCACTGCAGCCTGGGCGACAGAGTGAGACTGCATCTCAAAAAAAAAAAAAAGAAATAAAAAACCTATTTCCAATAATTTCTTGTACCCCTTTCCCTGACTGATTCACAATGTCCAGGGGCAGAGCCCAGATACCTGTGCGTGTTACAGTTTCCACTGTGCACTGAAGACAGTCAAGATCCAGGGCTCCAGTTCAATCTTGATGTCCAGCCTTGATCCCTGCAGCCATGAATCCCTTTTAGTTTAGCAAATGTCGCCCTCTAGTGGAATAAATTATGACCCAAAAAGGAGTTTGTGCCTGTCTCATTTGTGTTTAAAACCCTTTAAAATCTCATTTAAAAATGCTTGTGAGGTTGATTTGCAGATAGCTAGTGAGAGGATAGATACCTTTGAAGGAGGAGACTTGAAAGAAAAATCTAGTAAAACCAGAAAGAAAGGTCATGGTTGAAAACTCCAGTAACATTTCAAAGGAACGGTATGTTTATCAGAATAAATCAAGTCAGATTTTTTTTTTTTTTTAGTGATATCGCTGCTGCTGCTTCTAGAACTGAACTTACAGCGTGTGTGGAGTAGTTATGGGATAAATATTAATACAACAATAAAGGGGCCAGGCGCTGTGACTTACACCTATAATCCCAGCACTTTGGAAGGCTGAGGTGGCAGATATCTTGAGCCTAAGAGTTTGAAACCAGTCTGGGCAACATAGTGACACCTTGTCCCTACAAAAAAATAAAATAATTAGTCAGGTGCAGTGGTGCACACCTGTAGTCCCAGCTACTCTGGAAGCTGAGGTGAGAGGATCACTTGAGTCTGAGAGGTGGAGGCTGCAGTGAGCTGTGATCGCACCACTGCACTCCAGCCTGGGCAGCAGAGCGAGATCCTGTCTCAAAACAAAATGAACAAACAAACAAACAAAAACAAACAAACAACAATGAATCAAGAGTCTCTGATAGCAAGCTAAGTTCTTATCTCAGTCCTCCCCTGAAGTTTAAGGGACATTTTAAAAGTTGTTCTCACCGTGAGCACTTTGGTTTTTAGGTAAATAGGACTTTGGCTCTTCCTGTTCTAGGATGACTGGATTTGAAAAGATTGTGACACTCATTCTAAGAACTTCCCTTTACCACAGAATCTCACTCACTACACACTTTCATAGGTTGCAAAACTGATTATTTTTTTTTTCACATTATACCATAAGGAGTAAAAAGTGATTATTTCTTATTTTTTGTGTATTGGCTGTTTGCTGTTTGGAAATATGCAACTACATGCTTTATGGTATTATCTTGTCTTATCTTTACTCTAAGACCATGACCTTTGCCTGATGTAGTGGACGTTATTTAATTTTAAGAGACAAGGCTCCTCCCCCGCTACCTGGCACCCGTCACTTACCACCGCACTCCCAGGTTCTATCCTGTGGGGTAGCTTAGGCTAATCCTGACTGGTTATTTGTTCACTTGTCTCTGGGTGTTATATTTCACACCCACTTGTGCCAAGTCTATACGCAGCCACAGAAAGTTTCCAGTGTCCCCAGTTTACAGTACATTAATATTCTCAAAGGGCCAAGGCAGCACCAAGATGGAAATGGCCATTTCTCACAGTACCTCCACTTCCTCACTGGCCAGGCCGTCCTAATCCCCTGAGGTCTGGCTTAATTCCACAGAACTCTCTGGAAACTTCTCTCAAGCACCTCGTAAACATTCTTCCCCTTTTAAAATCCCATTGGACCTAATTCCTGGGTTTGTTCCCCACCCCCACCCCCCCTCACTGGGCTTCTTTTCAATTCAGGTATATTGAGGGTTCTTTCCTCTGGAACTTTTCCTCCTTGGATATTACCATTTTCTGGCTTTCCTCCTGTGTCTCTGCTTTTTTTTCCCTCCTTCCAGATTCTGTGTTTTGTTTTTTTTGGCGGGGGGAGGGCCGGGGGTGGGGACGGGGTTTGAGTCAGGGTCTGGGTCTATTGCCCAGGCTAGAGTGCAGTGGCGTGATCTAGGCTCACTGCCACCTCTACCTCCCAGGCTAAAACCCCCAGGGGCATACCATCCTCTCATCTCAGCCTCCGAAGTAGCTGGGACCACAGACACGCACCACCACACTCAGCTAATTTTTGTATTTTTTGCACAGGCCGGGGGAGTGGGTCTCACTTTGTTGCCCAGGCTGGTCTCAAACTCATGAGCTCAAGCAATCAGCCTGCCTCAGCCTCCCAGGGTGCTGGGATTTGGCCTGGCGCG